TATATATATATATATATATATATATATATATATATAAGGGAGGTGTATGTTATGCTCGGGTGTATAGGCAGCTCATCTATGTAGGGAAGAGAGTGTTATAAATATATAGATAAAATCAATGAAATAAATGCACAAAAAGGAATAAAAATAAATTAAATAAATAAAAAAGCATTAAATATAAATAAATAAATAAAAAAGAATAAAAAATAAATAAATAAATAAATAAATAAGAAAAAAAAAATGTCTAATTATGCAGCGGCGTGCGCGGTGGTGTATACGTATACACCCGAGCGAGTATATAGGCTATTTTAGGTCCTTTTTTTACCATAAAAAAGGAGAAAAAGATTAAATAAATGATTAATATTAATTTATTTAATTAATTAATATAAAAAAGGGCAAAAAAAGCGTTATTTTTATCTATTTTACCCCCTTATCTCTATATATAATATACATATATAATATTATTGTATAAGGAGGGTCCACCGGTCGGTCAGCTGCATGCATGCATTTATTGTTTTTTTTTGTTCTTTTTCTCCTTAATTTGCATGCATTTGTTTATTTTTATTTAATTTATTTAAATTAAATAATTAATTTAATTAAAATAAACGTAAATTAGACAGAAATAGGAGAAAAAACAAGAAAAAGAGAGCATTTATAGCTGCGTATACACCTCAATTTATTTATTTATTTATTTATTTTATTTATATAAATAAATAACTTTTTTATTGTTTTTTCTTCTTTTTTTCTTTTATTTATTTATTTATTTATTTTACTTATTTCTTTTTCTTTTATTTTATTTATTTCCCTTGTTTTCTTTTATTTATTCCCTTTATTTATTTATTTATTCATTTATTTATTTATTTATTTATTTATTTATTTATTTATTTATTTATTTATTTATTTATTTATAATGGGGGATACAGACAAAGAAATAAAGTCTTCTTCTTCTAATAGTAAGTCTCCTCTACTTATATATATTAATCCTGCTGCTGCTGCTGCTGCTGCTGCTGTTGCTGCTGCTGTTGCTGCTGCTGTCACTGCTGCTGCTGCTGCTGTTGCTGTTGCTGTCACTGCTGTTGCTGCTATTGTTGCTGCTGCTCTTGCTGCTGCAGGCAGTCTCAAGGAGATGTCTTCTTCTGGTACGCAGCAAGACACGGCATCTGCTGCTGCTGCTGCTGCTGCTGCAGCAGCAGGAGATGAATCAGGAGCATCAGAAGCAGCAGCACAAGTGTCTCGAGAAGCAGCAGCAGCAGAAGCAGCAGCAGAAGCAGCAGAAGCAGCAGCAGAAGCAGCAGAGGAAGCAGCAGAAGCAGAAGCTCAAGTTGTAAGAGAAGCAGCAGAAGCAGAAGCAGCAGCAGCAAAAGCAGCAGAAGCTGCAAAAAAAGCAGCAGCAGCAGCTGCTGCTGCAGGTCAAGATGCAGCAGCAGCAGCAGCAGCAGCAGCACCAGCAGCAGCAGCAGCAGCAGCAAAGGAGACACGTTTTGGTTCTTTTAGGTTGCATGCAAGTAAAGAAGGAGACAAATTCCCTTTTGCAGCAAAAAACTCTCAAGAATCCAGCAGCAGCAGCAGCAGCAGCAGCAACGACAGCAGCAGCAGCAGCAGCAGCAGCAGCAGCAGCAGCAGCAAACAGGAGACAAAGAAGGGTATATGGAGACGTTTACTAAAAGAATCACGAGATAAAACTGCACATACACCTGCAGGAACTATTATACTTCTTGGTTAGTTTATTCTTTTTTTTTTTTTTCTCCTTTTTTTTTCTCCTTTTTTGTCTCCTTTTTTGTCTCCTTTTTTGTCTCCTTTTTGTCTCCTTTTTTTTGTCTCCTTTTATTGTCTCCTTTTTTCTCTCCTTTTTTCTCTCCTTTATTATCTCCCTTTTATTTATTTATTTATTTATTTATTTATTATATACATATTAATCTATTGCTGTTGCTGCTGTTGCTGTTGCTGCTGTTGCTGCTGCTGCTGCTGCTGCTTAGGTTGTGAGGATGTAGGTAAGACAACGTTGCTGCAGCAGCTGCAGCAGGAAGGGAGCTCAGGTGTATTGACAGCAGCAGAGCAGCACCAAGACAGCGGCAGCGTAGCAGCAATAGATTTTTCTTATATAGAGGTACGCTGCATGCAAGACTATGGAGACACAGCAGCAGCAGCAGCAGCTGCTGCTGCTGCTGCTGCTGCTGCTGCTGCAGCGGATGGGACAAATACAGATTCTGCAGCTGCTGCTGCTGCAGCAAGCGCAGCAGCAAAAAATGCTGCAGCAGCAGATGCAGCAGCAAATGCAGCAGCAGATCCTGCTGCTGTTGTTAGGGTCTATATACTACAAAATAAAGATTCGTGGTCTGTCTCCTTTTCCTGCTGCTGCTGCTGCTGCTGCTGCTGCTGCTGCTGCTGCCCTTGCTGCTGCTGCTGCTATTGCTGGTGCTAAATAATTAACTAATTAAACTAGTTTATTAATTAAATAGTTTTATTTAATTAATTAATTATTCTATTTATACTTATTTATTTATTTATTTATTTATTTATACTTATTTATTTATTTATTTATTTATTTATTTTTTTGTTTATTTATACTTTATTTATTTATTTATTTATACTTTATTTATTTATTTATTTATTTATACTTATTTATTTGTTTACTTATTTATTTATTTATATTTATTTATTTATATTTATTTATTTATTTATATTTATCTGTTTATTTATTTATTTTATGTATTTATTTATTTATTTATTTATATTTATCTATTTATTTATTTATGTATTTATGTATGTATGCATGTATGTATTTATTTATTTATTTATTTATTATTTATTTATTTATTTATTTATTTATTTATTTATTTATTTATTTATTTATTTATTTATTTATTTATTTTTTTGTACAGGAGACGATTATGTGATTATCTAAAGGGGGAGACACTACAACATTTAGCAATATTAATATGTATAAATGTCTCTTTTTTTTCTTCTTTTTCTTCTTCTTCTTCTTCCTCCTCCTCCCTTCCTCCTCCTCCTTCTTCTTCTTCTTCTTTGTCTCCTTTGTCTCCTCCTCCTCCTCCTTCTTCTTCTTCCTCTTCTTTTTCCTCTTTTTCCTCCTTTTATTCATGGCTATTTACTGCTAATAAAATAATTAATTATTTAAGGGAACAGTTACCTCCGCAGCAGCAGCAACAATTATTTAATAAAGGTAATTAATTCTTTTTTTTTTTTTTTTTTTTTTTTTTTTTCCCTTTTTTTTTTT